TTAAACCTTCATCTCTAGCTAGTGGCTTCCTTCAAGGATGCAACTGTGAGGCTTTCAGGTTGCCATGTGAAGTTGCAACAGGCTGAAATGTTGACTTCCAGCATTTGGGAGATTGTCACTTCAGCTAGGTCATTACTGGAAATGATGTAAGTAACATGATATGGTTATCTAGATCTCTTAGCATCTCTTTGGGATGTCTTGCGTGTTGGTTACATTCTCTCAGAAGAAATTCACATTCAGCTTGCTTTTCAGCAGAAAAAGAAATCATTTGTGTGTAATTTTTACTGCACTTTTTATTAGTGAGTTATTAAAAATGGGAGAGAGATCAACCTCTCTGGCATGATTCCAGACCCTGGAATGAAACACAGAGCTCTGGGAAGCTCATTAGCAGAAAGGTACAGGCAAATGGGAGGGAGTTGAGGGGCTGGGAGGTTTCCTTTTGAAGAGGGATCAAGTGAGTTGAGTGTGTGGGACATCCAAGCAGGTGATGGAAGCAGAGCTTCACTGGGTGGGCAGCAGGAAGACTGGGGCTGTCCACATGGCAAATTGTCACATGGTCAGGGGAGGTGAATATGGGTAACAGCCTTCTGGCCTCAAAGCTCTGGACCATGCAAAGAAACTGGAAGGCAGCTTACTCAAAATATGCAATGTTACCTTTGCCATGATTTGCCCACTGAAGTCATTGTTATAAGATTTATTCAAAGCCAGAGGATTCCCAGGACTGAAAATAGGTGAGATAGTACTGGCTGTTCTTTTCATTCAGCCTTTGGGTAGAAGACATTTCAGAGAAGGCTGGGCTGAGGAGATGCTGGAGGAGTTAATCATGTGTAGGTGTTTGCAGGCTCAAAGCCTCTTCTGTGCTTTGGTGCAGGAGTTAATCCAATTAACCAAGCTACCTGCTCAGCCTGGTGTTTGGATGTGCCTCCCCTTTGGGGATTCCCTTTCCAGCTGTACTGGGCCCATCCTTTTCTGCTTTGGCTTGGCTGTTTTCCTCCATCAGATGCCAGCCTGAATGGTTCTGTGAAGGCAGCATCCCAGTGATGTCCCAGGGAGGTGGTAAATCCTTTCCATAGCTGCCGGATGTCCTGCCTGGCTTGGTTCCACCATGCCACCACCTGTGTCTGCCCACCCTCCAGCCAACGTTGAAGAGGTCTGTTTCATTGCAGTGCTTATTCCTTTGCGCATTCCTGCTTGTGGATATGGCAGCAGGATCTGTGCCTGTGCACACTGCAGCCCTTAGCACCGTGCCAGCTTTGAGGACAGCCCAGGCTAGCTGTCACTTTGGTCCCTTTTCAGTCTGATCCCAGATGCAACTGCTCCCTGCAGCTCCACTGGTTTGTTGGCTTCTTCTTAGAATATCTAAGTTATTGAAGTTTTCCTGTTAGCTTTTCGTTCCTAATACCTTTTGAAGGGTGAAGTTATCTAAAGGAAATAAAGTTATCTGGGCTCACTCAGGGCAGTTTGGCCACTGTCCTGTCCCAAAGAGCAGCCATGAAATGAAGAGCTGGGAAGGGAGAAGCCAATCCTCTGCAGAGCAGGGTATGTGTCAGTTTGAAGATGCTGATTCTTCATCATCTGATTCCCTCTGTGTTTGGAGTGGAGTTTCTCAAAGTGCACCGGGTCCCTTTGGGATGAGGATGGTTCTGTACAAGTGGAAAAGATTATTATAATGCTGTTGTATTTATTTGGAGAGGATGTGCAGCAGTTTTCAGACAGCACTACACACCTAATTGGGAATTCAAATTCCAGCTGGTAGATTGAGGCTGAAAGGCAGAGCTGTGGGATGGAAACGGGCAGGCACAAATTGCTGAGACTCCTAATCTTTTACAAGATGTTTGTTTAATACAAAGTGGTCTATTGAGATTGTTTTGCAGAGTAGAATAATCAGTGTGCTGACTAATGGGAGACAGCAAGCTGTTAAAGAGCATCAATTAACCATACAGGAGGAGATTATTGACTATTTTCACAAGCATTCAGGATGTGAAGAGTAAAGGATATTGCTTGAAGGTAACCCTCGGAGATTTTTAGCAGTTGAAATCTATAAACTGCAACAAAGGTACCTGTGGCCGTACATATGTTTGCAGAGCCTTCCAAGAAGAACAGAACTGGGAGTTAGCTTTCCAGTTCCAGATTGTGCTGATAGGAAATAAATGCTTTGCTGAACTTGTTATCTTATTTAATACTGATAATTTTAAAAATTTCCCCTCTTCGGTTTATCTAATTTTATCTCAGGAAACACTGCTGCTCTTTATAGAAGATGGCATGAGCAGCATCCTTCTGATACTGGGGTGAGATTCTGTTATTCTTCTGTTTCCCTGGCTCCAGGGCTCTTGTCCCTGCAGCTGCTCCTGCTTCCCTGTAGTAATTCCGATCCCTGCTGTGGGTTAGAGCTCGATGCACTCAGTGCTGAGAGGAGCACTCTTCCTCTCCATCATGTGCCTTGCTTAATGGATAATAAAATTCTCCAGTTTTGACTGGTGGAGAGTATGAAAACCTATGTTTCATTAAGAATGCTTTTATACAACCTTACTGTGCTTCTGCTGGAGTTTAATGTGAAAAATAAATAACATCTTGTGGGCTCTGTTTACTGAGTGATGTTGTTGTTTGTAACTGATGGGAAATTTTTCCCATCCTGGATTCCAATGTTAAATCCACTTTGTGCAAGCATCATTTTCCATTTATTCATTGGCTGTGTGGAGACCAGATAACACTGAATTTATTTTTTCAGTTTTGTTCCTTTTGAAGTGGTGTTAGAGGATTGCACCTCAGTTATTCTTACAGCCAGCAGCAAGAGATGTCCCTGGGATTCCTTGGGGATTATGATAAAGAGGGACCCCTGGTTCTTAGACAAGGACAAAGATAGATGTCTCTCAGCTTCAATTCTCTGTTCAAATGCCTTAATCAACAGAGGTCTCCTTTAACAGATGGTTCTGCATCGATAAAGCTTTTAATGTGTTAGTAAAAATTCAGAGAAATTTACTCCTTTTCTGATTTGATTGATTTTCTTAATCTTCTTTAAGCCGAGGCTGAGGGCTGAGAATAACTCATCAGAAGACTATGGAGAGGATTAATTACTTGGCTGCAAAACTCATGAAGATATTCTGAAGGAGGATGTGGGAAGAGTGAGCGAAGCCCTGGTGAAGTTGGTGTCAGCGGAGGAATTACTGTGACTGCAGCTGTCACACATGCAGTGTTGCACTGTCAGAGAGGGCAGACTGATCCCCTGCATGTCACACCCTTCTGAACTTGTTTCAGTAATAAAACCTTCCCCCCTGATCTGGGGGATAAAAATCCTTTTCTTGTCACAGACAGCAGCTGGTCTGACCCTAAGCAGCTGTAGCTCGACAGGGGGAAATGCTGCAGGTGCTTCACTACCTTCGGACTCTTGTCCTTGCAGCTGGGGCTGCTTTGAGCTCTGCCTGATCTCTGATGCTTCAGAGAACTGCCAAAATAGCCCTGACTTTACAGGGAACTTGTCAAAGCTGTGATGTCTGATGTACCGATATCTTAATGCAGATCTGCAGATTTAAAACCCCAAGGAGTTGTTCAGCTTCACCCACGGGCAGGAAGGGGAGGGGTTGCAGAGCAATTTCAAGGCTGGAAGGGGTATCATTAGCACTGAGCTTGACCTGAGCTGAGCTTTGGCCAAAGGATTCATCCCTGGAGCTGCATTGAAGCATTTCATGGTTCATTATCCTCACAGTAGGAAACATTGACTTACTCTGAAGCTGAATATCTTAACTCGAATTTTGATCTTCTTATGGCTTTGTCAGCAAAGTCTGAACTTGACCACCTTTTTTCCCACTTCCTTTTAGGAAGTAAAACAAACTGCGTGTCCGTCTCCATGAATGGAATATTTTGAACTCTCTAAGTTTCAAATTCTATGGTTTGTTTTCTGGCTGTGGGTCACTGGATGCCCTGCCTGTGAATCCTACTCTCTGTTTCCTTGTGGATTTTTGAGGCACAAACTCCAGAGCTGTGCACAAGTCCCAGGAGAGCTCTGGGATTTATGCAGGTTGCCAAGGCAGCTTTGGGAAACTTTGCTGCTTTTTGACTGAGTTGATTTGGCAGCTTTTTGCCATAGCAGAAACAGAAAATCCCATTGGGCCAAGAACCATTTCCCTGAAGGCCTTAGCAGGGTGTCTCTTTTACAGATGTTTCCCCACTGACAAGTGCATTTTGAGATGAGTCACTGAATTCATATTTAATCCACTAGTAAAATTGGCAAGGCAATTACCATCTTGCAAGTTCTTTAAATCAAATTGTTAGGGAACATTAAATCAAATGCTTTGAAAAAATCCCAGTATATACAATTGCTTTTATAATCTAGACTGTGATGCTGTCACAAGAAAAGCTTTTATTTTATTGGGGTTTGTTTCCAGTGAAAGTGTGCTGCCTGGTACTCATTTTGGTCTTGGCCTCTGCTTGACTGTGCTCCATTATTTTCCTTTTATTAATTGTTACCTGATAATGAGGACCGAGAATTAAGGAATTGCTTGCTTACAGTTGTCACCCCTACTTCTCAGCATTGCCAAGTGCAGGAAACATTTGTAAACCGAAATAATGCTGTTGTTCATGAGGCAGTTAATCTGTTATGACAACCTGGTGGCTCACAGCACAACAGGGATGCAGGTGACTGCTGGGTCTCCCTTTTTGCTGTGTGTGTCTTGCTCTGAAGCCACCCCACGCACTCCCCAGTGAGAGGGGAGAATGCAGAGGCCTCGTGTGTAAATCATCACCGGAGGGGCTGCTGGACTGGGAATCTGCAAACCAGGGACTACAGTGGCTCTCTGGGCACTGAGGCTGCTGCCTGGCTGAAAGCACACGATGGCTTAATTCAGTTTGCTCTGCCACACGCTTTAGTTACACTCACAGCTGGCTCCTCTTTTCAGTATGTGCTAGTCCAAACGTGAGGTTTTGTGTTGTTTCCTGGGGGGAGGATTTCTTTCACACAAATGTGCCCTACTCTTCCCTTCCTGGTTTTTTTCTTCCCTCTACAGGTGGCAACAAGAGAAGAACTACAGAAGGAGAGGTTCTCTGCCACTGCTAGAAAGATACAGGAAAGCACTGAAGTAAAACTGAGAGGTCTCACATCCATCTGTGCTCCAAAGAACAAGATGCATGGTTTGTGCAGGCTGGTGCTGAGGAGCAAACATCCTGCTGGCAGAACGGGCTTTGGTCAGTGTGGGTCCAAGGAGGCTGTTGCAGCTGTCAGTGCTGCAGAGGTGATCACAGAGCTGCAGGTGAGAGAGGCCAGCCTGCAGAGAGAGCTGCAGCAGCTGCGGCAGCAGTGCAGGCACAGGCTGGATGGAATTGCAGATGGCTTGGAGGGAGTGATTTGTATCTCCCCTTGAAGAGAGAAACCTGGGCTGGGAAAAGCAAGGGAGTAGAGTGGCTTGGTCATGTTCTGCAGCCTGGCATGGGGGACTGTGAGCTGAGGAACCAAATCTAATTTCTAATTCTTTAGCCTGGGAATCATAACTTGCTACTGCTTGTGAGTTGTACTGGGGCCACAGCCTCAGTGCTCTCTCTGCAGCCCCTTTATTGCTAACCCTGCCAATTAAATTCTGCATTAGGCCTTGGTGAGAGTGTGCATAAATCTCCCTTTTATCTTCTGGATTTCTAGTTCTTCTGCCAAGTCCTGGGCTCTTTCACAGTGCTCAGCTGCGAGGCACGGCGTACATCGAGGCTGTGCATTGAAGTACTGATTGCATTCAATACTTTCCAGCAATTGGAAGAGTTCATTAGTCAGAAAAATCCAAGTATTGGAGAACATGAAAAATACCAAGGCTTAGAGAGACTGGAAATATTCAGGAGTGTGTTGTTTTAATTCAGCTGCTCAGAGTATTTGTGGCAGCTATAATGTAGTCGCAATAAAGAAAAACAAATGCCTAATAATAAATAAAGCACTGCACTGATTTCATTTACTGGTGTGGTGCACTTGAAGTAATTGGGTTCTCAAAGAGAACAAACTAGAAACCCTTTCCATCAGGTTATGAGTCACAATGAGATGGATAACTTGCAGACCTGCTATAGGAAGTGTCTGTGATACAGAAATACAGCCTTAACTTCCAAGCCTGAGGAGTCTCCAAGCTCTGCCTCTGAAGATGTCTTCCCTTGGAACAGTGAAATGCTTTTCCTTTGGCCTTAATTTCCTACCCTTTTCTGGTTTGCTTTTGCCAAGGAATATTTTTGTGTTCTAGTTGTACACTTTGAGGAATAAATAATATTTAAAGAAACCAGTCTGGATTTCATTTGTGAATTGCCATGAACAGTGGGATTTCTTTTGTCTGGGGAAGCAGCCCCTTGGGAGCAGGGTGTTTGTGTGTGTTGTGCAAAGCTGTCAGTCACAACCAGTGTTCCTGCTGGCAGCTGGCACTGGGAGTGACACACAGTCATGGAGCAGAAAAACCCTGTGGGACTGGCAAGATCCATGTCTGGAGCAGGTGGCCCAGGCTGCTGCTCCTGGAGGAATCTCCATGGCTTTGAAAAGCCAATCCACACCACTCTGCTTTCCAAACCATCTCTGTAGGTGCAGGGTACCTGTTTCAGGCTGGTACAACTTAGGGCAGGTGTTGGCTCCAAGACTGCTGACATTGAATGCACAAGAGGACTCATTCAGACAGGTTTCATAGAAAATTATTCATGAATGGGAGCGAAGCAGTATATCCCAGAACTAACAAGAATGTCAGCACCAGTCTTTCTCTCTCTTTGAGTATTTTATATCCTCCTTTAGCTTTTATACAAGGAAATTTTCATACTGCATCACACTTAAGTTTAAAATGTTGCCCTCAAAAGATTTTCTCCTGGGATATTCCACAGAGAAGAGTGGGCAAATATTCTTGAGCATGGCAAGAGCCCTCAGATTCAAGTGCAGGTCTAGCTCATGCTGTGCTGTGGCTTCTCAGTGCTGGATGCCAGGATTTATTATCCTGCTGTGCACTGAACCTGACAGGAGTCATTTGGGGATGACTGATTTCCTGGGATCAGCCCTTTGTCACCACACACACAAAGTGCCCTGTGCTCAGTGTCCAGCCAAGGGTCCCCTGCAGAGACTGCAGCTGGCAGCACCGTGCCCCTGCTGGACCCTGAAGAAGTGGTTTTTCCTCAGGTCAAGGATGGCAGTGCTCAGTGTGTCTGTACAATGTGTGTGTGATGTGCAGAAGTGCCCACAGTGACTGGCACAAGCCACTCTGCTGGAGTGGCCACACAGGAGCTGCCAGGAGAGCCGGTGGGCTGGAGCTGGAGCTG